TCCGATCTTGATGTAAATGGCGTATCTGTAATATGTAAAATGTCATTCGGCCTTGCTAGTCATATATGATTTTTGGGATATACGAAGCCAACCTTTTTTCCCCACAGGAATAAGCGGTTGGAATATGTATTTTTTCGCGAGAGGGGAATAATTCAGTGATGCCGGTTCTGCATAATGTTCTTTTCGCGTACTTGCGACCCGGCATTTTTAGTCATTTAGATGCTACTTTTTTAGGCAAATGAACAAGCACGAGTATGGTAGTAGAGTATATCATAAATTTTCGGTATATTATTTCAGTGTGAAAGTATGCTACTGTATCGTCGCTCGTTACATCCTTTAGCTCTAGATTCTCTATTTTTATGCTCTATATCCTGAAAGATCAGAACATTTTAATACTCCCTCGCTACGTGATTTTCTTCTTGTACGCTTGACCAATTGCGATTATTGATAGATATGCGCTTAGCGGTATAATGTAATACACTAATTTTCATATGCATTTTTATTACCGATAGGAAAATTGCATCGTGAAGTACTTTAATATTACGTTCGTTATGAATTATTAGTGAAACGATTTAATGCTGAATAATTGCATAATATAAATTGTATATTCCTTATATACATTCACTTGAAATATTATTCTTTGTTCTTCACTGTTTATAATGTCAATTAATTTAAACTTACTTTTATTATTCATAATTTATCTGGCAGACATTTCATTCAGTTCATATTAATCATATAACCAAATGAACCATTTTTTTCTAATTTTGTAATTACAGAAAGTTGTTTGTTGGTGGTTTGTCTTGGGAGACAACACAAGAAAATCTTCAACGTTACTTTGGCCGTTATGGTGAAGTAATTGATTGCGTTGTTATGAAGAACAGTGAATCTGGTCGCAGTCGTGGTTTTGGATTTGTAACATTTAGTGATCCAGCTAATGTTCCATTAGTTCTTCAGAATGGACCACATCAGCTTGATGGGCGCACAGTTAGTATTTTGTTGCCAAAGAAAAGATTGGAAATTTAATATGAAATTGTATAGACATTTATTAATATCTGCAACTTATTTTTTTGTTACAGATTGACCCAAAACCTTGTAATCCACGCACTCAACAAAAGCCAAAACGCAGTGGAGGATTTCCAAAAGTTTTCCTCGGTGGTTTACCAAGTAACGTGACAGAGACCGATTTAAGGTCCTTCTTTACCCGCTTTGGTAAAGTTATGGAGGTTGTCATAATGTATGACCAAGAGAAGAAAAAATCAAGGGGTGAGTAGAATATAATAATGTCTTGTGTACACTTAAATTGGCATTGTTTGAAATGGTTTCCATTCAGTGGTTGGTGTTAATAAAATTCAACATATCGCTCTATTTAATGATACTTTACACGTATAACAGCATTTTCATTTTTTAATTATTATGGAAACTACAAAAAACAATGCTTTATAAATATTTAAATATCATATCATCTTGTTTATTATGTGACCAGAAGTATAGTCAGAATTCTTGAAATAAATTTTTCTTAATTTTTTCATGGATATAATGATATAAAAAAGTAGCTATACATTAAAGACTGATATAAATAATGTATAATATAATAATAATACTTTATATGTATTAGATCAAAAATTCTGACTTGAATGCAGCACACCCATTATTTAAAATATGATATTAAAATTTTATTGAGTTATAAACATATAAAGAAAATAAAAGTAAATTAATCAATATAAAGTTGAGTATGATTTTGTGTTCAAGTCGGTTAATAATTTGTGGTCATTGAACTTCCCTTGCTTGATTACCCTTTTTCTTAATGACCCTGCTCTTGCTTCCTTTAATAATTATAATTAATACATCCTAATTCACAGTCTTGTTAATTAATATTGTTTATTTTTGATATGTATTTATAAAATATTTTAAGGCCCTATATATACAGCTCACAGTGCATTATACATAGTTATTTACATAGTGTTCTTATCCTACTTTGCTACTCTTAATAATTCGCCTTGTCTTACCTTACAAAAACGTTAAGATACTTTATGTTATATTAAATTAAATTAAATTAAATTA